GGAGAAAAAGAAGAAGAAGAAGAAGGACAAGAAGAAGAAGAACAAGAAGAAGGAGAAGAATACAGTCCCTCTCCTGTCGCGCTTGCAGCATTTCGAAATTGCCTCCCCCTCCCCCCTCCCCACACCGCACTTCCTGGCGGCGTCTATGAATGCTGTTTTGTCTGTCTGGCACGAAAAAGAAATGCTCGTTCGGCACGACAATTTAGAACTGAACCGACCCTGCCTGTCGGCGCCGGCTATAAAGTGAGCTGTGGTATCACTTGCCATTACTGCCGGAGAATACGCAAGAGTTTGTCCTCGTTGTTGGGCGGATGTTTGTGGGTCCTGCTGCACGTGCATTGAAACGGAATTGTTCACAAAGAGGTTTATGTAGGTGGTTGACGGGTGTTCTGGTGTGGTTAGCTTCTTCTTTCCTATGAAACATCTATCATCCTTATCTACCCTTCTTCTTTTTTATGCTTGTTACTCTCTTGTAACACCTCTGATATTCTGGCGCTCATATGACCGTAGGCAGCTGCGAGCGCCGTAAAACCTCTATTTAGACTAAAAGAGTATATATAGCGCTATAGGTCGTGTAAGTGAGGTCACCCACGTAAACGAACTGGGGGGGGGAGGAGGGGCTGTATGTGCACACTCTGGGACACTGGGCGTTTAGGGCAGGAACTAGAGCAGTCTAACAGAAGGATGAGTACTTTATGAGACTCACGTGGAGACGTTTGGATGGTCTTGGGAAGAAATCTACCATCTTGCTCTGAAATTTGGAGGCAAGGCTGTATTTAACCGTATCCGTACGCCCTGGGGTCATTTTGTACCCCCGGAGTTGTATTCTTCACATTTTAGGATACTTCTAGTAGGCCTACGAAAAAAATCTCTTTGAAACTTTCAGTATTTCTCAAAAAATCATTTTGACAGACTGCTATGCAAAGCGTACGGATCGGATTAACGAGTAAATTTCCTCTTTGGAAAGTGGTGGCACAGAGTTCCCCACGTCGTATGGATACGATAGTAAAACACGACGTACGGATAGGGTTAATATACTAGAGTCCGTGAGGAGTGAGGTGGTAAGGTATGTGTTTTACGGCGCTTGCAACTGCATAAGGTTATAATATTATTATGAGCGCGAGTGGGGTGGGGGCCCAGATTGTTCATGTAAATGGGGGCGCCGGCCATGCCGTTGAGGGCAAGAAGAGCCCCCCACCCCCCACCCCTATGTCGGACACATGACACGCGTGACGTCACTGCCATGAAATCTAGTACCATGTACAACCACCTCTTTGACCATACCTCGTATCGTTTACTCTCTCCCTTTCTCTCTCTTTCCTACAGAGTAGGCCAAGAAAACAGTATCAACAAGATGGCGGACGAGGACAGGGGCGAGAACTCTGATCTCATCGGCCAGGGAGGGCGAAAGGACAAGGGGAAGACTCCAGATTGGAGCAGGTTTGTTTTGTTTTTGTGAAATGTTCTCGTTTATTAAGTGGTAGCACAGAGGTCCCCACGTCGTATGGGTGCAATAGTAAAACACGACGTACGGATAGGGTTAAGTGGTGGCACAGAGTTCCCCACGTCGTATGAATGCAATAGTAAAACACGACGTACGGATAGGGTTAAGTGGTGGCACAGAGTTCCCCACGTCGTATGAATGCAATAGTAAAACACAACGTACGGATAGGGTTAAGTGATGGCACAGAGTTCCCCACGTCGTATGGATACGACGTACGGATAGGGGGAAATAATAATATGAGCCTAAAAGTTCCTAACGCCCCCTGACGACGCATGTATATTGTGAATTAGGAGTCGGGCTTCAACCTTTTCCGCCAGGGCCAACCCACGCAAACGCACGTTTTAGGTCTGGTCTGTATGGGGCCTGTGTGTGAGAGCTCTCTACAGGGATACAACTTCCGAAGCTGAAAGACAAAGATTTAAAGATACTAACAAACCAGGTTTTGGTTGTTACATCTTTCTCTATCTGCCTGTCTGTCTGTCTGTCTGTCTGTCTGTCTGTCTGTCTGTCTGTCTGTCTGTCTGTCTGTCTATCTATATCTCAATCTACCTATCTAGATAGATTATCTATCTATCTGTCTATCTATCTATCTATCTATCTATCTATCTATCTATCTATCTATCTATCTATCT